TTGTTTTTCTTATGGAAAAGAGTAACACCTTGTAAATAACTCCTTGAACTATGTAATGGCAATTTGCCGCTTTAGTTCGAGGGTTATTAGGATTTCTTTATCTTCAAATAAATATAGTTTAAACCAAGTGAGAAAAAAACATCTGAGCTAAAGTTAAGAGACAGAAGTAACTGTCTGCTTAGTCTATTCCCATTGCTTGTAATTGTGTTGAGGCTACTTTATACGGCTTTGAAGCGGTATTCAGTTTTTGCATATGTGTGTGTGGAGACGTTGCTACCCGGGGCCGCTGATTATAGTCCTCCATTGGGATGATATAGGGTGCTTGACCGGTGAAAGTGGCATCTGCTGTTGCCGGTCTTTTATCAACTCCAGTCATGATTGCCATTGCCCGATATTTTCTTACATGTCTTTTAATAAATTGGACTATGAAGTATCCAATGGCAGCAGCGATAATTAACGCGATGATCATAATCAGAATATCGCGCCAGTTGAAGTGGACGCGTTCATTGTGCTTTTCAATGACGTTATGCAGATCAATGTTGATTACACCTGAATTGATGTTTTTATGTTCGGTACCAAAAAGCATTGCTTCTGAGGCTTAAAAATGATTTGCGAAAATGAAGATGTGAGAAAAAGGATGTGAAAAAAATTTGCGCTTCTGTTTTGAGAAATAGAGGAGACGATAAAAAATAGCTCGCATATTCATCATGTGAGGGGAAAGCAATGGAATGGCAGGACTATTTCCGCTGATAACATTCTATTCAAAGATAAGTTTGAGAATATTCTGAGGCCATTTGATGGGTGCAAATTCTCATTCTATCAGTTATACATGATGGGGAAATAGTTTGATTATTTTGATTGTAAAATTTCGCATGAAGGCTTTTTACGAACAAGGATTTGCGTGAGTTTTGGAGTCAAGCGGTGTCTTAAAATAGGGTTGATAAATGCGAGTGGTGTCTCTCGAAAAACACTGTTCCATATACCACGCAATCGAGCGCCGAAGCACTCTAATGCTGGTATATAGGAAAAATGGATCAACAGATCTGTTTCCCAATTTATTCGTGTCGATCAGTGTGGATTACTCTCTTGCTGTTTCTAATCGGTACGAAAAAGTTGTTTTCGAACTTTTCCGTAGGTCTGAAAGAGTTGGTCGAGGGTGGATAGTTTTGAATCTCGCAGTAAGCGTTTAACTTGTGCGTCAATGAATTTTGAGGGATATTGGTTTAGTAGAAGACGATGTCTAATGTTTGAAAATTCTTGTACTCCGTCTGATGCGTTAGAATATATGCGAATTGCTCGTACATATGCAGAGTACGGTATATTTCGTTTGATGTGCCTAGGATGGGAACTACTAAATGGTAATAAATAGGGTTGTGCTGCCGGTTTTCTATATACGATGGTCCTGCAGTGGAGTACTTGTACAAAGAAGGTCACATCAAGATAATTAGCTTTTTTGCCTATCTCGTGTCTGAGTCTCTCTTCCAGTTTCTGATAGGGTAAGTGGAGGTGAGAAAGATGTCATCTTGGAAACGAAGGTACAATTGTCCTTCGCTTTTCTGCAATGCAAGAAGTTCTTTCTCCCATTCATACATGTATACATCTACTAACACTTGTGTTACCGCACTACCCATGGTTGCTCCTTTCGTCTGTCGCTAAAAACGGTTTTCATAGACAAAAAAGGAGTTTTCAAGAACTAGTCTTGTCAGTTGCGCAAATGTATCAATGGAAACATTATTGATTTTGTAGTTTTTAGTATTGGCGAGCATTCGGCAAAGAGCTGATATGGCGCCTTTCTGAGGGATCATAGTATATAAATCTGTGATGTCGAACGTTGCTAACAGAGTATCATCTGTTATGGAGTGTGATTCTAAATGAGATAGAAAGGAAAGAGTATTTTGAAGGGTATGTCGGTGTGTAAAACGTTCAAAGACTGGCCGAAGTATGCGGTCAAGATATGCGGAAATAGGAGCAGTTGGGGACTTCATCCCGGCAACGATTGGTCTCAGAGGCTCACCGGGTTTACGGTCTTTTGGATTATAATATAAGTGGGGAAGCTCGCATTCATTTCTAGGTCGTAATTTTTCATAGGTCTTCAAACTAATTTTTTTGAGTTGGAGGAGTTTTAAAAGTAATTTATTGGTATTATCGATCATTAGATGTGGGGGATTTTCAAAAACTTTCACGTATGCATCAGTTTTTCAAAAACTGAAAAACTGATGCATACGAAGGAACTAAAAATGATCTTGTCTCGGTCGCAAACCTATCAACTCTTTTTGGTTATGAGATGGATCCACTTTTCACAGTGCATTCGAATCGTCACGTGACCCTGAACAAAACGTCTTATCCGTTTCGTTTTCTTTCCTTTCTACAATAATTGTATTTACGTTAAACCAGCAGCTTTATAGTTTCTATTGAGTTCATATAGTCTAAATCTAACACTAATTTTCATATTTCATTTTTAAATGTATTAGTCCATTTATAGCAGTTCCGCCTGCGCCTGGTGCTAAAGTTATCCATTCGATACTTTCACCACTACCATAAACGTTTTTTAAATCAACTTTAGCTGAACCAATGTGATCCTGTCCAACTGGATCTTTGTCGTATACAGCCACTTGTAAATAATCATATTTCTTGCCCCCTAAATCACTGTAAAAGAAGAAAAAAAGTGACATTAAACATTATTTAAGCGATTTTTCATGTCAGATTCACTTACAACACAAGGGTTTCCTTCCATTTTGGATTATTTGAATTATTAACCACTTTTGTACGTTGTTTATCTTTTTGATCATCTAACAGCCATAATTCAACATAGGCATCATCTTCACCACCAATATCTTCGTTTTTTAAATGACGTCCTTCTAATACTTCAACTGTTAAACGTCCCATTGTGTAAATAATACTGTGTGTTTTTCGTTCTTGTTTGCTTGTTTGAAAAACCAAAAAGAGATAGACAGGTACATCAACTATAGTTGCATATGTGCAGTTAAATTTAAGCCTAAATCGAAATGTTTGGTGCACGCACATAACGTAACAGTCGTACACAAAGAATGTTAACGGCAGCTCGCAGGTAGAGATACCAGATTCAAAACACGAAAATTAGAAAATAAAAGTGCAGAATCAGAAAAACCTCGGAAAAGAAGCAGAAAATCAGCAGAACTTAGAGCAAGAAAAGAACAGAAATGAGGCAGAATGATGAGAACCATAAGAGAAGGTCGAAAGATTTGCGAACGTGTCACAAAAGTTAGCTGATTGTAGTCCACTTTTATTAAGAAAATATCCTGCTGACATTCAAACCTGTCCAAATAAGAGTCTCGCAATTCTGCTAATAATTACATTTTTTATTTGATTATTCTTTTGTTACTTCAGTATTTCTTCTTTTATCCTTATTAAAAAGCAGAATCGATATTTGTTCTCACTCCTTTTTCTTTTCTTAATACTAGAAAGTGGCATACTGTTCAAGGCGGAAGCACATATTTTCTTTTTCTTTTGGTTGTAGACAGAAAAACAAGAAAAAAGAATTCTCAATTAGACTTTTCTCTCCTTTCTTTACCATTTTTCCAGGCAAAACATTGTCTCAGTCGATAAAAAAGTGTTACTCACTGTAAACTGTTGATATAAGCTTTATTCTGCCAGAATACAAGCGGAAGAATATTCCATTATAGTATTCTAAACCAAAACTATCGAAAAACACAAAATCAATTTTTGTACGAATTGAGATTCGCACATGTCAACTTAGTTTTGTAGTAAACTACAAAAATAAATTTACTGTTCTTAACGAGAGTGCGAATCTCAGTTCCTAACAACAAAGTAACACTTTTTTATCGACTGAGACAATGTTTTGCCTGGAAAAATGGTAAAGA